TCAGAGGCATGGTGTGTGGTACTTGTACAATGCTAGGTTGTAGGGCCCAGCAGCTGGATCATTGGCGCATGTGCCCGCTGCTCAAGGCTGTAGTTTTGGTGGATGCGACACAGAGGGGTGAAGAGACCACACGGCAAGCACTGATTTGCTATTTACCCCCTGCGCACTCTACAGGACCACCAAGCTGCCCAAGTTCAATGTCACCCATATCCCGGCCAACTACCCCTTCAGCGTTGGGTTCGCTGCCAAGGTATGTGCTGCCCCCTGCCCCACCGTTGGATGGAGGCTGGACCCTTTGCGATGGCTGGTTCCATTTGTGCATGCGTCGGCAAAGCAGCCCTCCGGCTGTTCGCAATCATTATGAAAGCTCAACTCCTCACCTGCTTTACTCCGTCTTGCTCAGGTGTGCGTGCCCAAGCCGAGCAGGAGCAACCCCCTCAGGTGCACCAACAAGTTCCTCACTGCCGGTGCTGCCACCGCCACTTGCAACAACGGCACCTTGGGTCTGGAGTTCGAGTCGGTGCAGCGGTTTGTCATCGGTCGCCAGCACACCATCGTCGCCACCTGCAGCAAGAGCAGGTGTGTTGCGCAGTGCAATCACGAAGGCACTTGTTGTGAAATGCCATCAACCAACAGGGATGTCCCTCGCTCGTATTCCTGCCTCCTGCACCAATCGTGGTAACATGCGCTGCATCAGGATTGGAGTTAAGATTGTTACGCCCTGCGTGGCAATGGCTGCTAAGGCGTTGCGCTGCAAACGAAATTACTCTGACCATGATCTCCTGACCTACTTCATCCGGCTGCTGCAGGTTCACGGACATCTCGTCGTGCGCCACCGCCAGCGACTCGACCGTCAGCCCCACGCTGTCCGGTGGTGTCACGATCACCAACAAGGACTTCGATGCCGGCTGCGTGTGCAAGTCGACCGGCCGCAAGCCGGTGCTGAACCTCATCACCACCGACGTCCTCGTGGGCCAGCAGTGCCTTGCATAAGCACTCGCGCAAGCTGGGCGACGCTGCACCATCCATGCACATTGGCGCACAGCCATGAGCAGTGCAGCTGCTGTGCTCCACTCGCGTGTGCACCCCGTGAGGATGCAGCACTTGCACTTGCAGGGTGTGCGCAGTGTGCGCACCACGAGCGGCGCAAGCTGTGTGCCCGTTGCTCAGGCTTGCCTTATGCTGGCCGATCGCATCGATTGCAAGGACAGACAAGACATCTGACAGGCATCCTCAGTAGTAATGTGTGTGGCGTGGCTGTCGCTTGTCGTTTGCACCACACGTGCAAAGATGTGCTGCGTGTCTGCAGGTGTATGCACGTGCGCATGGGTGCAAGCGCGCGCGCGCCCCCCCCCCCCCAAACACGCACTCACACGCGTGTGCCCGGGAACCCACAAACACACTCAGCGTGGAAGCATGCACACTCACCCACACACCCACAGGTGAGGCAGGAGAGGCGTGTTAACTGCTCGCGACATCAACGCCAAAACACAACGGTGATTACGAAACTGTGTGTTCTAATAGGAGGGTTGCCGAGCGCGCACGCTCTCGCCTCAATGCAACTGCCGTCCAGTCGCCCGTGATCACGCCGCACCCATGCGCACAGCTTCACCGCTGCTCGTCGTGGCGATCCGCTGAGGTTGCGGCCAGGATGCGGCCAGGAGACCGAGGAGACCCACACACCACACAGGGCTGGCAGCGCCCTCGCGTTGAGGGGATGCGCCAGCAGCTTGCAGCCACATCCCCCTTTTACACCACCGCCTTCCCCCCCCCAAATTGCGTGGAGCATTTGCAGGTTTCAAGGTCAGATGTGTTGGCACCGTCATTAGGAGGCGTCAAGCCTGGGCCGCGCTGATGGCGGCCGCCCATGCTGGTGGGAGGCTGGCGATTCGTGGGGCACAGTTGCGAAGCACGTCGTCCGCACGCAAGTGAGCTGGGCCCATGCATGCTGCAGCCCTTGGTGATTATGACGGGCGGGTTGCAGCGCGCTGTGGCAATGGCAATTAGTGGCTGCCGACCGCCCCACTTGAGGCGGCACCAATGCGCCCAGCTTCACCGCTGCTCATCACGGCGATCCGCTGAGTTGGCAGGCGTGACGAGGCTGGTGCCAGGAGAGGAGGCTGGCAGGGCCGGCAGGCAGCGCACCTGCATTCTTGCCAGCAGCTTGCGGCCGCGTCCCCCTTGTACCCCGCCGACACCCCCTCCCCCCCCCCCATTTTGCGCGGTGCAGGTTTCAAGGTCAGATGTGTTGGCACCGTCATTAGGAGGCGTCAAGCCTGGGCCGCGCTGATGGCGGCCGCCCATGCTGGTGGGAGGCTGGCGATTCGTGGGGCACAGTTGCGAAGCACGACGTCCGCACGCAAGTGAGCTGGGCCCATGCATGCCGCAGCCCTTGGTGAACACAACGGGCGGGTTGTAGCGCGCTGGCAATGGCGTGAGGAGGCTGGTGCCAGGAGACAGGGCTGGCAGGGCTGGCAGGCAGCGCCCCTGCGTTCTTCTTGCCAGCAGCTCGCGGCCGCGTCCCCCTTGTACACCGCAGAACCCTCCAATTCTCGCACTGCAGGTGGCCACCTGGCCGCCGGTGGCAGCAAATGATGCAACGCCAACTCAATATGTGCAGCCTATTATGATGGTTGCAATACTCTCCGACCCTTGAGCGATGGCGGCGCTGACACACTGTGGCTGGCCTTACTCAACAGCATTTTTTTCCAGAATACAAGGTGCGGGTTGCCGACTGTAGGGGTGTGCGCTTGTGCATGATACTGCATCGCCCTGGGATGGCATCGCCAGCCTCACCCCTCATATCTTCTCTCACAGCTTCACCTCCTCACGTTCTCTTTGAATCAAGCAAATTGCAATGTGCACGTCCGTGGTGTGCGCGTGTGCATGTGTGCGCACACCGCACCCACTATCAAGCTCAGGTCTCAGCATATTCTTGCGGTACTCAACGCACGCTCGCTCCCCCCCCCCACACACACACACATGCACACATCCATTTTGCAACCATCTCGTGTGCACGTACAGGTTTGAAGGTATCCCTGTGTACATAAGGCGCCCACGGTTCGTGTGAGGCAACCCAAGCGGCTGTGAGTTTGTGCCACTCTTCAACGCGTTTGTGCAGTGCATGTCTCATAGACCCTGCACGCATTTTGTTGGTGGCATACGAAGCCCATGCACCAATGGTTGTGGGATGTGTCTTGTGGCTCACGCTCATGAGCTAGGACTTGCCGATCATTGCTTAGGAAGTAGACGCAATGCAAGCATGAGTTCCACGTTTACTTGCACATGGTCATGCAGGCATTACCCGCCTTTGTTGCGGGAGCTGTGCTGGAACGTGTTGGTCCCCGTTGGGATGTTGCAGCCTTGTTGCTCAGCGGCGTGTTGCGTGCCTGTGCCGCCGGCGGCGCACCCACGTTGCTTCCCCGTGGCTAATCCGGGTCCCAGCCGTGACCCCGTGCATCCGTGTACCCCGTGAATGGACTCCCGTGGCAGGCACGGGGCCGTGACAGCCGTGACACATCCGTGGTAATACCGTGACCCCGTGCATCCGTGTACCCCGTGACAGGACTCCCGTGGCAGGCACGGGGCCGTGACAGCCGTGACTAATCCGTGGTATTACCGTGACCCCGTGCATCCGTGACGGCCGTGACATCCGTGGCAGCCGTGACTGGTCACGGGAAATCTGTCACGGGTGACACGGGAGTCCGTTCACGGGGTACACGGTCAAGCCACGGTAAAGCCACGGATGTCCACGGCAAAGCCACGGCAGGTGCACGGGCCCACGTGGTCTTCCCGTGACAACTCGTTCTGTGAGTGCCCTCGGGCGCTCTAGCCCATCCCCTCATGAGCTTGCCTTCCGACATGCATGGGGACAACAGCAGTTTCAGCTGCCGAGCACTGCTGCTACGACACGTGCTGTTTGGCCAACCAGGCTGCGGATGGGGCGGCGCCCAGGTTGGGCAACGGAACGGGCACTCACACGGCTGTGAATTGTGCTGCCAGGGGCGGGACGGCGGAATCAACCTTTGCAGTGCTCACGGCATTCACCGCATGCGAGCTGCAGCATGGTGTCGATGCCTGGCGAGCAACGATGTTTGGTGCAGGTCTGAGAGGCACTACTGGCCTGGATTTGGCGCACCCATCCATCGCTGGGTATGTCCCTGTGCCCACCCAACCTTTCTCATGTGTTTTGTGCGTTGTGATGTGCGTGCACCACATGATGCGAGGTTGCTTTTGGCGCCTGAACTCCCTCGCCCATGTTTCTGGCTCGGATGCCTTCGCGGTCCCGGCCCTTTGTGGTGGTGCCATGGGCGCGCTTGGTCACGCACCCCCTGACGAGTTTCAGCACCTACTGCATGCATTGATGATCTGTATTGACGAATGGAATCTGAGTGCGGGTGGTTGCTTCGCAATGTTGCGGACACGGTGTAACGTGACGGACGTTACACCGGCTTCTGTAACTCAGTCGTTAAGTCTCTAACCGGGCCCTTCAAGGACATTTAAGGGCACGACCCCATGCTCTCCCGGGTCCCCGTGCCCACCTGCCTTCCGCAGGCTGCCCACGTCTCTAGCCGTGACACTCCTACCCCCTTAGCTTCAGCGTCCTCGCTGACAGGCTAGTTGTGGGGCGGCAAGGCAGTGCCTGTGGCCAACACTTGCTCCCTCAGCAAGTACAGCGCCAGGGCACTCAGCGCTACAGCTGAGGACGCCGCCCTGCGACGCGGTGCGGGACGCGGCTCCGCTTGCCGCTCCCAGTACGAGTCCACCGCGGACTCAGTCAAGTCGCGCTCACTGCGCCACTCATTGTGATCAGCTCCAAACCCTTTCCACTTGATCAGGTATTGGAGGCGGGGGCTTCGCCCCTTTGTGATGCGATGCTGCAACACATCTTCCACTTCGTACCAATCACCCCCCTCATCCAGAAGCAAGGGCATTGGCTCAACAGGTTGGCGGTCTGCTGGCGTGTGGTACGGACGCAGCAGTGACACATGGAACACATTGTGCAGCCGCTTGAGGGCTGTGGGCAGTTCCAGCTGATAAGCCAGGCCTCCAACCCGCTTGACTATCGTGAAGGGGCCAACAAACAGTGGCATCAGCTTTTGTGTGCCCGGCGTGCGCAACCTTATGTGCTTGGTGCTGAGGAGTACCTTCTCCCCCACCGCAAATGAGCGCTCGCGCCTGCGAGCATCGGCAAACTGTTTCTGACGGTTCTGCGCACTTTGCAGCAACCGCTTCGCGCGCTCCACACTGGAGTGAATGCGCGTCGTGAGCTCCACGGCCGCGGGGTGCTTCGCCGCCGGCAAGCCGTGAGTGGCTGGAGTGACGGGGTGACGCCCAAAGTTCAGGTAAAACGGCGTCTCCTGCACGCTCTCGTGCCAGGCAGAGTTTACCGCAAATTCAGCCATAGGCAGCAGCAAATCCCAGTCATCTTGCAGCGGCCCAACGTAGGCACGCAGCATTTCTTCCAGCACCCTGTTAGCTCGTTCAGTTTGCCCATCAGTCTGAGGGTGATAGGCTGAAGATAACTTCGTGTTAACCTTCAGCAGGCCACATATGCTTTTCCAGAGCTGGCTAGAGAACTGGGGACCACGATCTGAGATGATCTCACTGGGGAGACCGTGGAGCCTCACCACATGCTCAACAAACAGGTGAGCATATCCCATCGTGTCTAATTCCGTTGTGGTGGCAGCAAAATGCACCATCTTCGTGAGCCTGTCCACGAAGACTGCAATAGCATCCTTGCCCCGGGCTGTGCATGGCAGATGCACAATCAGGTCCGTACTGACACTGTGCCAGGGTCCAGGTGGAATGGGCAGGGACTGCAGCAAGCCGGCGGGCCGCGCCTGCTCAGGCTTGTTGCGCAGACATGCGTCGCAAGCTCTGCAGTACTCCTTCACAAACCCACTCACGTTCGGCCACCAATACGCACGCTGCACCGCAGCAAGCGTCTTTGCTGTGCCCAGATGCCCATACAGAGGGTCGTCGTGCATCTGCCGCAGCACGTCTGCACGCAGCCCTGAGCAGTCTGGCACAATCACCGCCGTCCCTCGCAGATACAATTGCGTGGACTCGTCCAGCACAGGACGATGGAGGCGTTGATACTCTTTGAACCACTTATCTGTGGCATAGCCCTCGCGGATGCGCTCAACCAAGGTAGGTGCAGCCGCTTCCGCGGTGCCCTGCGTTGACTGAGGTAGGGACGCGCTCGCCCTACGCATGCGCTTGGCTTTGGGGGCTTGAACTGTCTGCGGCGTGCCCCTTGCGCGCCGTTTACCAGACAGGGCCCCTTTCTGGGCATTTCCAGGCAAGCTTTCCGCCTGCCCGTCGGCTGGCTGCCGACCAGGAGAAGGTACCACAGGGTCAGGCTCGCTCCCTGCGAGCCGGTCCCACTGCGCGTCCTCTCCGGGGTACAGCGCAAACCGATTGATGCCTGCGCGCTCCCTGCGCGGTCGGCCAGCTGGTCCCTCAGCTGCCGCACGTTCATGCTCTGCAGGTTCCTGCAACTGATCGCGCGAGCGGCGCTTCCCTCGGCGATTTTTGTGCGGCGGCTCCTCGGCCGTCGGCGCCGGCGCACCCGCCCGCGTCGCAGCACGAGTCAGAGCCATCAGCTGCACATCCGGCCTGCGGGACAACGGATCCGCCACATTCGTGCGGCCGGGGATGTACTTCCACACAAAGTTGAACCGTGAGAGCAATTCCACCCAGCGGGCCTGGCGATCTGACAGGGTCGTTTTGGTGTCAAAGGTGGTGTTGGGGTTGTGATCCGTCACCACCGTGAACTGTCGTGCGCCGCTCAAATAGCAACGCCACACGCGCAGCGCATGCACCACTGCCAGGAGCTCCTTCTCGCCCGCATGGTAGTTCATCTCATTGGGCTTCAGCTTGACGCTTTCAAATGCGATGGGGTGATCATCCTGCATGAGGCATGCGCCCAAACTCACATTGGATGCATCACACACCACCACAAATGGTTTGTCCAGGTCTGGCAGCCTCAACACTGGAGCGCTGACCAGCATGTGTTTCACCTGGTGGAATGCCGCCGCGCACTCGGGCGTCCATTCCCAAGGTGCGTCCTTTTTAAGCAGCCGCGTCAGCGGTGCTATCAATTTCGCGTAACCCACCAGGAAGCGCCTGAAGTAGTTGCTCAACCCCAGGAACGACCTGAGGTGGTGGACAGTTGTGGGGGCTGGCCACTCAGCCACCGCCCGCACCTTTTTGGGATCAACCTTGAGCCCATCCTTGCCCACCACGAAGCCCAAAAAATCCACCTCCTGCTGCATGAAATGACACTTGTTGAGCCGGCAATACAGCTTGGCCTCCCGCAACCTCTGCAAGACTGCCCGCAGGTTTGCCATATGCTCCGCCCGAGTTCTGCCAATGACCAGCAGGTCATCCAGGTACACCAGAACAGCCTCATTCAGCAATCCTCTGAACACGTTGTTCATGACGCGCTGGAACGTGCTGGGGGCATTGGTGATGCCCATTGGCAGCACTCGCCACTGGAAGAGGCCCAACTGCGTCCTGAACGCTGTCTTGGGCACATCCTCCTCCTTGATCCTGATCTGCCAGTATCCACTGGCCAGATCCAGCCCACTGAACCACTGATGTCCTGCGACTCGGTCCAACAGGTCCTCAATTCGTGGCAACCGGTACTTATTCTTGATGGTGATGTTGTTCAAGGCGCGGTAATCAAGCACCATCCTGAACCCACCATCCTTCTTTTTCACAAACAGCAGGGGTGCTCCAAAGGGTGAGTCGCTCGGCTCAATGAACCCTTTGGCCAGCAAATTCTTGATTTGCCGTTGCAATTCCTCCATTTCATCTCTTGACAGCCTATACAACTGCTTGCAGGGCGGTGCAGCCCCGGGCTCAAGCACAATTGTGTGCCCCTCTCCTCGCTCTGGCGGCAAGCCAGCCGGCAGGTCTGCAGGGAACACATCTTTGTACTCATCAAGCAGTGCTGCCAACTCCGCATCTTGTGCGCCCGGTTGCACCGCAGGCTGATCAGGCCACGTTTCCTCATCCAAGCCCTCGGCGGGCGGTCCCTTGATGACACAAAGGTACGCCTCTGCGCCGCTGCGCAACGCGCGCCGAGCCTGCGCAGCCGACAGCACCGGCGCATCCGGAGCTTGCACAGGATCAGGAGGGAACTGCAAGAGGGAGAGTGTGCGCCGGCCGCGCCGCAAACGCACCAATCTGGCCGAGCAGTCAATAACAGCGTTATACGCCCGCAGCCAGTTCATGCCCAGGAGTACATCGTGCTCCTCTGCCAAGGGCATTACGTAGGCCTGTATCCTACTCATAAACTCTCCCATTTGCAATCTGACAACGCAGGTGCCCTGCGCTTGTACAGGGGAGCCGTCAGCGAGCACAACCTTGTCAGCTAACGGCGTCACTGCCACGCCGTGCTGCTGCGCCCAGGCTTGGCTCACAAAACAGTGCGACGCTCCCGTATCAAAGGCAATCATGGCCCGCACGCCCGCGGCCTTGCCTTCTAAAATCAGGCGAGGAGCGCCATGCTGCAACAGCACTGGCGAACTGCCTTTATCCGCTGTGTGCTTGGGCGACGCCGCCGCTCGCGGTTTCGCCTCGGATCCAGGGGGGTCATAGTACACTTGCAGCTTATGCGGTGCCGCCACTGTGAGGCGGGCGCCCGCGGCTGTCCGACCGCACAGCACACGATCACCCCGTTTGAATGTGTGCAGCAACTGCATTCCCGCAAGTGTTTTTTGTACCTCCTTATGCTCGTGCCCCCCTGGCACCAGCACACATGCTGAAACATTTGGATCTGCCCGTTTGCGTGCAAGGTACCGCGACATTGCCTCTGCAGTTTTGCCAGCTGGAGGGTGGATCCACACATGCTCTGCTTGTGCGGGCACGCTCCCCGGCGGCCCAGGCAGAACCAACGGCTCATAGGACCCTTCGTACACTTCTTGTGTAAACGGTTTGCCTACTGCCTTTTCAATGGCCCGAAAACAGTCTGGCCTCAACTGGAATCGAAGTGTGGGTTCAGGTGCCGGCGGATGAGAAGTTACCACGTCAGTCTGCAACGCAGCGCAACGCAAGCCAGCAAGCAACGCACGCGACCGCTGTTGCCAGCGACGCGCCTTCTGCATGCGCTCACGCCGCACTCGCTTATTAGGCTGGCGGGTGGCCACCAGCGTGGCATGCGCCCCTGCACGCGCTGCATTCCGCAAACGCGTGCCCGCTACCGCGCTCACGGCGCGCGCAGCCGGTACAAAGGACACATCAGCTGGGGCCTTGCGAACTGCCCCTGCAGCCGCAACAAACGTCGACTCGCCCGCCGCAGCGCCCACGGCGGCTGCAGACGGCGACAAAGCCAGCACATCCGCCGCTGAACCCGCGCGCCCCTAGGCCGGCCTGGCCACCAGCTTGGCGCCCTGCGCCACGGCGTTGGTGCAGGTCTTGGCCTGGTGCTCGCCCTTGAGGCAGTGCCAGCAGGTACGGGGGTTGGGGAGCTGAGCCCTGGGGCGAGAGTACTTCTTGCGGTCGTTGATGTTGTACCACCCGCACTCCGCCCCGTTGCCGTCGCGGCCGCTCGGGCCCGCGCCGTTGCCGTTGGGGTTCAGGTTGTCTGGAAAAAGTCCTGCACATGCGACAACCAGTCCTCAACTGGAGTGTCCCGCTGCGGATCCCCCGTAAACACTTGCGGTCTGTTAAGCATGGAGGGGTGCACATTCAGGTTAGGGGGCCCCCCACTTGGGGCAGCCCCGGGGTTACCAGCAGGGGGCGGCGGAGGAGCCCCGCCCCCAGGTGCACCGCCACCGCCGCCTGGTGGCGGAGGGGCCCCGCCTCCTGGCGGGCCGCCACCGCCACCTGGCGGGCCACCGCCCCCAGGCGGGCCGCCCCCCGGGGGACCACCGCCACCCGGTGGGCCACCGCCGCCCGGCGGACCACCACCGCCCGGCGGACCACCGCCACCAGGCGGGTTGCCACCCCCAGGCGGGCCGCCGTCCGGTGGGTTACCACCGTCATTACCCCCATTATCCGAGCCGCTTGCGCCGCCGGCGCCACCAGCGGGGGCTGAGCCACTAGCCCCCGCGGCCCCAGTGCCCCCGGCGCCACGACTACCCCCACTTCGCAGGGCCGGCAGAGCGGAGGTTGGGCCCTTGCCCGACAGCAGCGAGTGCAAAGCCCCCAACACGTCCTGCCCACCTGCGATGCGCTGGAGCTGCGCCAGCACAGTGGTCAGGGAGTCATGCGCGGCGACGGTCGCCGCCATGCGGCCGTCGGCCGACTCGGTTGCCGCAGCCAGTGTCTCCTGCAGCTGGGCCACCTTGGCCTCAGCCTCAGCGCGGGCCGCCTCGGCCGCGCGGCGCGCAGCCGCCTCGTCATCAGCCCGGGCACGGTGCTTCTCGCACTCTGCCACGGCGACGGCCTTGTCGTTCATGGCCTTCTGGAGGGAAGCCTGGAACTGGTGGGTGGGCTTCGCAGCGTGACGGTCAGCGGCCGCCTTGGCCTTGTCAGCAGCAGCAGCAGCGCGGTCGGCCGCGTCCTCGGCCGCCAGCCGCTTCCCTTTCAGGGCAGCCAGCTTGCTTTCCATGGCATCAAGCCTGGCCCGCCCGGCAGCGAGCTCTGCCGCCATCTTGTCGATCTCGTCCTGCTGTGCAGGGGACTTGGAGGATTCGCCCTCATCCTGAGCCATACCCAGGGGACAGGGTGAGGGGCAGGGAGCGTTCAGTCGGCGCGTAGGTCGAGGGCCGTTGGTGAGGTGGCACGTTGGAGGTTAGGCCGCTGAGCGGATTCCTCCCTCACCGTCGGCAAGCGCGTTCCGCGCAGCCGACGCGCGCTCCCTGCGCGCTCACTGTTGGGTCGCATCAGCAACGGGCGGATACCGGGGCCTCCCTGGCCCCACTCCGTCCGGGCGAGCGTTTCCCCAACAACGCAACCTCGCACGCCCACGCACGTCCCTCGCTCGTACCTGCCCTCCCCCGTCCTCCGAATTGCGCTTAGAGCGTTTGGAACCGTCGGAACCCATTGCAGCGTCGTCGTCGAAGCTGGAATCGCTATGCTGACGACGACGACCGCGCATGGGCACGGCTGGAGCACCAGTTGTAACGTGACGGACGTTACACCGGCTTCTGTAACTCAGTCGTTAAGTCTCTAACCGGGCCCTTCAAGGACATTTAAGGGCACGACCCCATGCTCTCCCCGGTCCCCGTGCCCACCTGCCTTCCGCAGGCTGCCCACGTCTCTAGCCGTGACACTCACATCACGGCTGGAGCACCAAATGTAACGTGACAGACCAATAGGTGTCGCTAGCGTGCTCGGGGAGGGCTCTACGACCCTATATACCGTGACACACGGTCTGCTTTTCCGACTTGAGCACCTGCCGACTTCCGTTCCTCGGCCCACCCATTGCCCAATCACCCGGGGGAGTATGAAAACCACATTTGAAGAACTTGAAACCGGGCGTGGATTGAGGCACAACAACGCGCCTGCTGGTTGGGCAAGCTGACTAAGCGCTGCGGTGGGTCGGATGCATGCGCATCCCGCACTGGTGCTTGATACTTACCTGGTCACTTTTGAGTAGGCGCCTGACCGCCCGCTGCATGTGTAACCCACAGCCCCAGATACGATCAGAGAGCAGTTGCTTTAGACATTGTTGGCATGGGGGCCTTGACATACATGTTGCTGTCATGCAGTGCATGTCCAGCCTGGTCATCAGCGCGCGGCCGCTGCCGGTTTTGTACATGGGGCCAGATTTAGCCAACAGCATGCTTGGCTTGGGTCAGCTGTGCAGACAGTATTTATAGTCCATTTAAACCTGTAGTGCTGTTGCATTTGTAAATCAGTTGTGAGTCAATGCTGTTGTGGGAGACTGCCCGATTATTGTGTGCCTGATGACTCATCACTACAGGGATGGCTCCTGAAGCGGGAGACCACTCGGTGTGGCAACAATTCGTATCCTATTGATATGTGCAACAGGCAGGCCAGGTGGCAGCAAACCTGCCAGCTCCTCGGGCATGCAATGATGCACGCAAAATGATATCGAATCCAAGGGTAATAGCGAGCAGCGCATCAGAATGCGACAGGACGGTGAAAAGCGCCTGCGCTGGTGGGGCATCGGGCCAAGCCCCCACCTCCTTGTCACAGTCCCCTAGCCTGGACAGCCTGTTCGACCTCCGCAAACGCGATGAAGCCGCCGAGACGAAGAGAGGCTCAAGCAGCGCCTGCCAGCCAGGTGCACATGGCACCAGCGCACCTCGCCAAGATATGACACACACAGTATGCAGGTGGTACAGTTGCACGCGACGTTTGCGGCAAGCTGGACCTGCGCGGCAACAAGCCGGTCGAATCTGTACGAGATCCCCAAAAGTCAAGCCTCCGTGTGTTGAGCCAATGTGTATCAAGCTTGGGCCACCACCAGCCGCGCGCAGCTGCGCCAAAAGAAACAACACACAAGCGGGAAGCCCCAGGGTGCGCATATTGCGCAGCGCCACTGCACTTGCTTCTAGTTGCACCGCGCCACCCAAAACAGGTAGCAAGGGGAGGGCATGCATTGCGACTCAGGGATCCTCAGGAGGAACGCGCGGCGCAAAGCTTGGCAGTCAGCGGCGCAAGAGCCAGGGATTGTGCAGCCTGACGCGGGGGGCTGGGGGGGGGGGCGCGCATGCCCGGCGCCCGGCGTTTCAAGCGCCCAGGGCGGCCAGGCTGCGGCAAGCGCGCTCCTCAGGCGCGCCCCGCGCGCCTGAACAGGATGAGGAGCACCAGCACCACCGCCACCTGGCCCGCCCGCTCCAGGACCCTCCAGGGGTCGGGCCTGCGGCGCTCGCGGCGGCTGCTGCCCTCGCCCGCCGCCGCCGCGGTCCCCATCTTCGCCTCGCGCCCTGCCGCCGCGACCTCCTCGGCCGCCGCCGCCTCGGATGGCGGCGCGAAGCGGCCGCGCAGCCACGCGTGCAGGTCGGCGATGCGGGCGCCGGTCCACTCGAGTCCCCTGACCACATTCGCCAGCGCCTGAGCCAGAGGGTCCCGCTCGCCCGCGCGCGCCTGCGCCGCAGCCCCCGCGTCGCCGCCGCCGGCCTCCGCCCCTGCCTCCTCCACCACGGCCGCCTCTGCCAGAGTGCCGTCCCCGCCGGGCAGCAGGCCGCGGGCGGCGAAGCCGCGCGCAACCAGGTATCCGTCCAGGTCTGGGCGCGCCCCCAGAATGGATAGCACCTCCGGGTCTGAGAGCGCCGCCGCGGCCATCTCTCGCTGCACGCCCGGGTGGCGCAGCTGCGAGCGGCGCCAGAGGAGGAGGGCGGGGGCCGGGGGGGCGCGTCGGACGCGTCCGGTCTGCAGGCCGACGTGCGGCTGCGCCCAAGGGTCCTACTGTGCAGGCCCGCGACTTTCTTGTCAGCACACACCGACGGCCTGGAGGCTAGGCGCACCCTGCGGCCCTGCCGCCTCCGGCAGCTTCTAGCAGCTTCCGTCCTCACCACTCTGTTGGCGACCTGCAGCGCGGCCCGCATCTCCTCCTGCCGCAGGTCCAGCATGCCGATGTCCACCAGGGCCGGCCGCGGCGCGGCTGACGCCGGCAGCCCAAACGGCGGCGCCTCGATGAAGGCGTCTGCGATGGCGCCCTCACTGGTGTCTGTGTCGGGCTCGTCCTCAACGCTCACCAGGGTCCTGTGCACCAAGGGCGGCCGCGGGCCGAAACGGTTGCGGCGTGGCGACCAACATGGGCGCGTGCAGGACAGTGGCGCGGGGTCTGCGGGGAGCCGCGGCTGGCCCTCGCAGCTGAACGGCCGGTGGCTGCGGCGCAGGCGACGGACGCTTTTGCCCGAGCCCCTAGGAGCAGCAGCCATCCCCTTGCTCCGCCACGCGCTGCTTCGTTGTGATGACCTGTTGCGGGCGCCTCTCACCTGAAGGCCTGGGCAGCGAGGGTGATCTCGTCGTCCGCAAAGATCGGCCTGCTGAATATCGGCTTGGTGCCCTCAAAGTCGACCAGCTCAAACTCATCCTGTTGCAGTGCGGTTCGAGCCGGCGCAGCAGGTGCTGAGATAGTCGCCGGCGTGAGGCGGCGCAGGAGATGGGATGGGCGCCCCGAGGCGCCGCCGAAGGCCGGCGGGTCAAGTCCTGCCAGGCTCTCTGCGAGCTTGGGACCAGCCGCTGCCGCTGGGGTGGTCATGCACACAGGGTTAGCGCCGCAGCGTCGTCTACACAAGAACCTCCTACCGCTCACCTGGATGCGGGCAATTTGGGACAGCGCTGACGACGGGCCCGCCTGGTGCGCCTCGCGAGCCTGCGCTACGGGCTGCGCCGCAAGGACAGCAGCTGTCCCCGCCAGCGGCGCCGCCCGCTCTGCCACAGCCTTCGCCGCCTTGGCAGCAAAACTCATCCCTGCAGATGGATGGCCAATGTATAACTGCGACGGGGTTGAACCGGGGGCCATGCCCTTTGGTGTGCAGCTAGGCGGGGATCAGGCGGGTTGGCGCCAGGCAGGCCAGCGGCCGCTTCGGCCCCTTTACAGCTCGCAGGCGCGCGCAGATATGCCCCACACAGTAGGTACACAGCAGCCTCGGCGCCTCCTGTACGTACAGACAGGCCTGCAGAGCTTTGGACGGCGAGGACGGGGTCACGAGGTTCCAGCCGATTGTCCAAACTCTGCAATCACATGAATATGATTCCTGCGAACTTCGCTCGGTGCCTAGAGATCACTTGCGTGGGTTCGGAACCACGCAAGTCACCAAACTGTCGGTCTACACCCTCTGCAGCTTTTCCTCGATGCAGTCAGCGACGAAAATCTACATTATGCATTCGCAACGTCTGCTTAACCCTGCATGGATGCAACAGCCTTGTCCAGCAGCACCACCGTAGTCGTCGAGCGGGCACTGTCCACTGGGCACGCTGGAGCTCAGCTGGTCCTAGTAAGAGTCCCACAACGCCATGGATTTCGTGGACCACATCATCGGTGCTGGCAGAAGCCATGTGCCTTATTTTTCTGCTTGTGCCTGCATAGCCGGCGCGACAATGCAAGAACCACCACATGGTCTGGCAGGACTGCCGGGTCATCAAACTCCTTGTGCCTCCAAGCCATGATCACCCTGGATGGTGTCGGTCTGAGGGGGCTGATGAGAATGGGTGGCTTGGCGAGAAGGCACTGCATGTTCCGCAGGTCAGTGCAGCGGCCAGGCTCCAGAGGAGGGGCGCCGAAGGCGTAGCTGCTGCGGCAGCTGGCTAGCAGCCAAGGCCACACCTGCTGGCGGGCAGCTGATGTCCCACCAGCTGCCCCTCGCCTTTGGTTCTTCTGGGGTGGCAGCGGCCACCCTCCAGTTTTTGTTCCGTGCGCGTGGCAGCCCAAATGGCGTGAAGTCAGCTACCCGGCCCAAAAACTTTCCTATCTACTGACAAAACACCGGTGCGCTGGGCGTCACCCGGGCGCGCAGCGGCTCGCACGCAAGCTTTGAGGGCCCATGCGCCGGGAGGCCGCGCAGGCTGCCCGCCACGCACCACTTTCTTGCTGGCACTTGGCAGCGCGCGCGGTTTGCACCTGGCAGCGCGCGCGGTTTGCACCAGTTTGCAAGGGGGGTTGTAGGGCAGGGCGCTTTGGCTGCAGTGGGGCGCCGCGGCTTTGCCGCGGCGAGCGTTCTGTTTTCCTTTTGCCGCTGTTAAAATCGGCGGCCTCGGCTTGTTGGCTAGTCATCTGTAGGAGCAGCCTCCCCTTCACTGGAGACCATGACACGGGTGTATCGCCCTCAGCAGCAGTGCCGCGTAAGCTAGCCTGCGGTTTGTGGGTGCGATGGTAACCTGGTTGGGTTCATGGCTTGCTTGTCGCACAAATGGCGGTGCTGTTTGTAACGCAGTGCAATATCTGTGGCTGGACAATGCCTACGACCTACAGTATTATATCATACACTGCCGCACCTGTGTCACTGCAAACCGGTCAGCTGCACTATTGACCTCGCCCGTCGAGCCATCCAGGCACGCAGTGAGGGCACACTTATACACATGCAGGTGCTGTATTGCTCGATCAGACGCTCGTGCACCCACTACCATTCCCGTTTTCACACGCACAGCAACGTGATCTTGGTGGGTGATAATGTGGGACTGGTTGGGCTAGCAGGAGCAATGGAGGAGAGCTTCAAGCTGCTGCTGCGGGAGCTGGAGCCTCTGTTCAAGGACGAAGCCGTGTTGATAGCTGCGTTCCAGGTGAAGTGTTCGTCGGCAGGTGCTCGGGCCTTGCAGGCAGCGGGCGTTGTGAAAAGTTGCCACATCTGTTATCCAAATCGATGCAGGTGGAGAAATTTGCTACGCACAGCAGTGATGCAACAGGGGCACAGCTGCTGAAGTCGCTTGGCGGCAAGGTGTGGGCGCACTGCTGTAGAGATCATGCATGGTGTCCAGGCAAGACCTTGCCGGTCTGCTGTGCATCCCCTTGGGATATTGGAACCTTACGCACAGCATACCTGTCCAGACGAGCACTGGGTCCGACAGGGCCACCAGCTGTCCGATGCACCCGAGCTCGTGCGTCACCCAATCGACAACCGACTGCCTGCCCCAACGCCGCAGCCACCACCGCTTGCCCCAGCACCCGGCCTCCCCTCTTGACCCGGATAGCGCCGGCGCCCGCGCTGCCATGCGCAGGCCTACAACGCTGGCGCCCCGAAGCGACGCGTGCTGGCATTCTCCGTCAAGCGGTCGCTTGCAGACCGCGGGTTCCTGACGTCCCTGCACATCTGCAGGCGGCGAGAGGACGAGCGTCCAGATTCCCCATATGAGGTACGCAGAAGCGGCGCAACCAGCCAAATAGGACCAGACTCTTACCGCGTACCCGATCGCCTGCCGGCCCAGCCACATCCAACACAGTGAGCACGAGTGGCGAGCGACAGAAGAGCAACAAACAGCTCACATGCCGCAGCAGGGCGCGTGCTGCAGTTACGCAATTACAAACGCATCCCGTAAAATGCGAATCATGTGCCTGCAGGTCCGCAAGACCTACCCCCTCAAATGCCTTCATGACATGCGCCTCGTGCGCGGCGGCGGCAAAGATGGGGCCAAGCAGCAGCAGCAGCAGCAGCAGCAGCAGCAGCAGCAGCAGCAGCAGCAGCAGCAGCAGCAGCAGCAGCAGGATGGCCCTGGTGGCGACGCGGGCACCCCAGGCGCGCAGCAGCTGCAGCAGGCGCGCCTGGAGCTGCACCTGGCGCAGCACCACAGTGTGGCGGAGCACAGGGGCCAGTACATCGCCCCCGACCCACAGCACGCCATGTTTGCCATGAGCCTTGCGATACAGCTGCTGCGGTGAGGCTGCCGGGCATGGGGCTCGGGTCGCTGGTGCTGGTGTTCAGGGTAGAGCTCGCGCAACCAGCAGATGCCTGCTGCCCTCCGCGCCGCAGCCCGTCTTGCCTCTCCGTGTGCACGCATGCATGCATGCAGCATGCATGCATGCATGCATGCATGCGCCTCGCCTCGCGGGCATGCGGGTGATATTGCGCTCCGCATGCATGCGCAGGCAGCAGGACGCCGTGCTGCCCAGTCTGGGGGGCGTGTCCATGGACCGCCTGGACGCGTGGTGGAGCGCGCACAGGGAGCTCGTGGCCCGCAGCCTCGCGCCCTTTGCTGCGGAGGTCGTCACGCCCGGCACCGTGCAGGTGGGCCCGCGCGCCACCCGCGACGGCTCGGCTGACGCAGCTGAAGCGGCTGCGCCGTTGCCCGCCACCCAGCAAATCCTGCAGTCCCCCCCTCCTTGGTTCCGCCCTGCTTTTGCAATTCTTGACCCGCTGTTCCAACGCTGTCCGCAACCCCACATGATGATCACATCATCTGCACGCCCCCAGATCAGCAGCAGGGATGCCCCTGGCGTCCTAGTCAGCGCCAAGGAGGAGGCTGACCTGGAGGAGCTGCTGGGCATGTTTGCTCTGGGCCTGGGGGAGCCAGAGGAGTTTGCGGCGCGGCTGCAGGTGCGCCGAGCGGGGCGGCCGCCGCGAAATCGCAGAGGCTCGCGCGCAGCGCGGGGTGGGCAAGGAGCGCGACGCTGCGCGCGGATCAGGCGCGGCGAATGCGGCCGACGCTGCTGCCGCAGGCGTTGAACCTGCATGCCTCCTGTTTGCCATGTGTGTGTTGGTGTTGGGCACTGTGGGGGGGGGGTGATGCGGTCTCTTGAGTCGTCTGGTGTTGTTACATCGTCATCTTGCCTGATGCCCCAAACCCAGGACGAGCATGCTGCGCTGGAGGCGGCCAACGTGTACGGGTTGCTGGAGAGTGGACCCCTGGTGAGCTGCGCGGTTCCTTGCCTGAGCGGTGTTGCTGGCGGCGTGGTGCTGCATCGCAACCCTGTCCGTGTTGCGCGCCGTGATGTGGTTCCGCGTTAGCAAATGGCCGGCCCAGCTCAAGCCCCCAAATGGCAGCATGCTCGTTGCCCCTGGTTGGGTGGCAACTCTGCAGCTTTTGGGCTCATTCAACTGGCGGCGGCCACACCCTGTAGTCAAGGCTCTGACAAGCTCACACAATCTTTCTCTCTCCCCCACACACACATGCACATACACACACAAGCAACCGCGACACCCCACGTGTTGCCACAATTTACTCCCTCGCCGCGCTGATCACGCTTCAGGTGGAGGGTGTGCTGGGGCAGCTGCGGCGGACGCAGGGCATCCTGGACGATCTGGATGAGAGCCTCAAGGTTGTTGATTGGGGGTGGTGCAGGGGAGGAGGAGGACGATTGGGGGCAGGCATGCTCCACGCGCCCGTGTTGTGTTTGCGGATTGTGGACTGCGTGTGCGGATGCGCATCAGCATGTGTGCAGATGTGTGTATGTGTGTGTGTATGTGTGTGTGTGTGTGTGTATGTGTGTGTGCGTGTGTGTGTGTGTGTGTGTGTGTGTTCGCGCGCGCCTACACGTGTGTGCGTGCGCATGTGTGCTTGCGTGTGCATGCACGCATGGGTGGGGCAACGCTGCCCGAGTCACACACTAATGCATCCCCCCCGCATGTGCACCCAACATGCGCCTGAACTTGTGCATATCCCCCAACTCAAAGGCCCCGCCGCAACCCTTCGAATCGGCCGCGGCATGTCTCTGCCAACGCAGGTTTTTGACTTCAAGCTGCGCCACATGCGCGACGACATTGCAGCCATCGAGGCCTCAAACAACACCTTGGAGCGCCAGAGCCGCCACAACGCCGCCCTGCTGCAGGCCCTCGACAGGTGCGGCGCCGGCACAGCGCGGCGCGGGTGGCGGTGCCACGTCGGGCGAGCGCATGCCGCACGCCTTCCCTCAGCACGCCATGCACACGCAGGCGCCGTCCGCCCGCACCCGCACCGGCGTGCTCGAGTGGCTGCCATGCCAGCGTGCGGCCAAGAGCACCGTGGCGTGGCGGCCAAGAGCACCGTGGCGTGGCGGCGCAAAGCCAGGCCACGTCCTGTTTATGCAAAGCAAGTCATTATCGCGGTTTGCCACTGCTAAGCCGTGTTCTCACCCACTTCCTCGCATGCCAGGCTGCTTCATGACCTGTCCACTGACCAAGGGTTGGTGTCGCAGCTGGAGGAGACAACCTTTGATCCTTACAGGTGTGTCTACCCGCCATCAGTGCGGTTGCGTGCATGCGACAATCGCAAGCACGCGTCGATGCACAAGGGCTGCTGGAGACGGCAGGCAGGCAGCACACCCTCCCTTTGCCTGCGATACCCATCGCGGCCTCAATGCATCTGCACTGGTGTTGGGAGCGGCAGCGCACTGCTTGATTCCGCCGACAAAAACCCTTTCACACCAATTGCAATCGCACCATGTCTGGGGCCCATCCATCCCATCGAAATACGCCATTTCACGGTTGAAAGTTCACCTGCTGGTTCTGCCCTTTGACGCCCCGCCTCCTGCTCCCCGCCTCCCGCTCCCCCACCCCCC